CCTACTAACGGATGTGGCAGAGAAAATGAGACTTTTTGTTTTTACTACAACTCGGTCAGTTTTGATCCGATCGATTCAAACCTTTTTTAAAAGATGCGCTGCGAAATACTCTACAAAATCATATCTAAGCTTTAATTTCAGAACTTCAGTCAAGAAAACTAAGCCAATTAGATGGAAGTCGACAAAAATGTAAACTTTCTGTTTTCGACTTGAACTTTTTCTTCTGTTAATATTTTTGCTAAAAAGTGTAACAAAAGGCAGAACTTAGTGTATGTGTTTGGTACTTTCAAATATACTCTTCCTCGTCGGCTGTAAAAAAACCTTTTTAGAGCAGATGATGTGCTCGAGAGCGAAGTAACAGAAATACATCGAAAGTCGACAACCTCTCCGTTTCCAACATTGTGCTCAATCAAGAAACGAAAAAGACGATTGAAGTTTGATTGCAGTTAGATAGAGAAGAGCAATCATTTCTGAACAAAACAAAGCAAACCCGGCTGAAAAGCTGTTATTTTGATGGAGTTATGAGGCTTTTACTGGAAGCACTACTATACCAAAATTTAAAAAATTAATGAAAGACGCATAGCAACCGATAGAAAAACTATTATTTCGCTGTAGCTTTTGATGTGAAAAAATCTGAAGCGTAGCTAAAAGATAGAGCGAATTCAAGGCTACGAAATGGCTAATTCAGTGTTTCTTACTTTCAAAACGTTAACATAAGAAATAATTTTTGAGCTTAGAAAGTTTACATTTTTGTCGATTTCCATCTAATTGGCTTAGTTTTCTTACCTGAAATTCTGAAATTAAAGCTTAGATATGGTTTTGTAGAGTATTTCGCAGCGCATCTTTTAAAAAAGGTTTGAATCGATCGGATCAAAACTGACCGAGTTGTAGTAAAAACAAAAAGTCTCATTTTCTCTGCCACATCCGTTAGTAGGACTAATTTTACTCATGTCAAAGATCAATCTAATAATTTGCCTTATCACAGTGGAAAATGAGATCTTTGACCTTATGCTGGGAGCAAAAAACACCATTTTTCTTCGTTTTAGTACTGCAGGCTACTTTGTAAGAATAAAGATTAAAGCTCATGAGCAAATGTTGGGAAGAAAATAGAATTTTTTTCTACCTTCAACTTCACACATCAGCTGAGCACAAATAAAGTGCATGGCTATAAGAAACGTGATTAGACACATTCCTAAGGACGTCAGAGTCCTATGCTCGAAATTATTATGATAAGGAAAACAATTTTTTTAAAGAGGGTCTGAACGGGATCTATAGGACAGAACCAAAGACACGATTTTGTTAGATCTGATGAATTCTTAAATGATCTGCTAAAATCTTTCAAAATCTTGTGACTTCTTGCACGTTCATACAAGGCCTTGCAAGATCCTATGGAATCTTGTGAAATTTTATATGATTCTTGTGAAATCTTGTAAGATCTTATGGTATTCTGTAATATGATCTTACAAGATCATATTTCAAGTTTCTTCACCCTGGGTGGAGAAGTAAGAAGTAATTCCAGAAAAAAAAGGTGATTTTGAGAGTAGTGGTCAAATAAAAAGTAGAAAATCATAGTTTTCACATTGATTGTTAACGACAGATTCTTAATTTTTTAATTCTCGAAAAAAGCAAAACAGCGGTCTTTTACAGCTAACATATCACTCGAGATTTCTGAGTGAAAAATGTCAGACGAGGATATCTCTGTGAAGAGAAAATTAGTTTCATCTCTGATAGGTGAAAGAACTATCAAATGCACATTTAAAAACCAATAGGAAATAGCATGGCTACCAAAGAATAGAAAGAATTCGAGTATGTGTTCTCATTTCCTTTATGTCGAAAACCATCTTTATATAGGTTTCATGATTATTATACCATCTAGTGTAAAAACTTGACATTTTTTACCTATTATCAAAGAGATTATGAAAAATCTTGTATTGTTGCAACACATCGTAAACATGCACACGGGTGTCCTAAACATTACTCAAATTAGTTTTTTATCGCAGGTTATCAAGAACCACTTGTGTGTGTACAGTTATTCTTTTTTCTACGCACCGAAAACAAAACAGATCTCACTTCTCGTTTCACATTCTCCTACGTCCTGCTCAAAAACATAATTCGTCTATCTACAGCGTACATTTTTATAACATTTTAAGTATTATGAGCGACAAGATTACGATCTTTTATGCAGTAATTTAAGGAAGTTTTATTTAGATCAAGTAAATTATGGAATAAAAGACAGACAGTGTTAGTAATTGAGAATAAAACTTCATAAAAGCTACGGAAATTGACTATCTCTCAATGTTGAAGTCTAACAACCTAAATCTAAACGTTCTCGTATACGGAGGAAGTATTGACTTTCAGGCAGACGAGCCATCCAGAAATTTGTAAAAGTTCAATGGTTTTTGGGTGAAAAAAGCTTTACGTTAGAAAATATAACATACAACAAGTTTATATTTTGATTTCTGCTGATTCAAATTAATAACAGTTCTGACAAATCACACTTTAAACAAAAACACATCCAGTTTATTTTTGCAATGTTGGTTTTCCACACGTGCATCTTGCAGAATAAAACCCAGCAAGGCATACGCCTTCATAGCGATAATTATGTATTCTGTTCGGAGTTGGTCGTGTTCGATGATAACGTAACAAAGTATGAGCTGTACTGAGACTGTTTGCATCATCCTTTGAATAGATAGAGAAATGGAATTACAGTGTGTTTTTTCATTATGTCATGAAGACGGTAATCGAAAAGGAATAGGGATGAACAATGTGCTAAGCCTAATTGGTTCATTCAAACCATAAAAGCATCTTGTAGATATGCGGCATTGTCTGAACTAATTTTCTATGAATTCTAGCACATCAGTGAGCGAAACAGGTCGCATTCAGACGCATTCTCATCATTTCAGTAAAAATGTGTCTGATCATGTTTTCAAAAGATTATTTCGCCTGGTGCAGTTTGAATGAAACAAAAGGTAGATAACTAAGCCCCGGACAGATCATATCAACGTTAAGCAAAAAAATAAAGTTCATTTAGAGTCGCTGAAAATTGCTTTTTCGTAGTCAGGATACTCGATAACCTAGAAGGTTTTCTATCTTTGACGAGTGGTACTACCAAAAGTTCAGGAAAAGTTTTCAAACAAAATGACGAAAAACAATTTCCCTGGGAAAATAATATTAGTTTCAAAATGTTTGTTAAACTTTTGACAGTACCCTTCGTCAAAAACAGAAAATCTTCTAGGTTATCGAGTGTACTGAATACGAAAAAGCACTGTTCAACGACCCTCAGTGAACTTTATTTTTTTGTCGGTGATATGTTTCTCACAAAAAACTAGCAACGAGAAGACTAATAATTAGTTCACGTTAGACATCGTCCAAGGAAAATAAAAGGACTAAAATATGCTCATTTCCAAAGTGTTTCGGAAAATTATCAAAATTCAGAACCGTTTCTCTCACAAATACCCTAGAAAAGCATTTAAATTCTTCTAAGGAAACATGTCCGGACTATAATTTATCCAAGAATGTAAATCACTGGTATAATAAAGAACATGAATTACCGCTCACTTTGTATTTATTATACAGTCTCATTGAGGCCTTCGCATCTTCGGTTGGATTGTGACTGTTTGATTTGTTCAAATCCACATCAAGTAGTACATATGCTTCATGCGCCAATGAAAAATAGCTAAAAAGGAAAGCATTCTATCGAATAAATTTCTGTAATTTCACCATCAATAACCTATAATTGGAATATCTTGGATTATATGCTTTGAACATTTCAGCAAGATTTATTAATTTTGCATAATGAACACCTTGTTTCAATTGCAGCCATTCTGCTTCACAATGAGGATTTTGTCCCACAAGAATAACTTTTGGTGAAAGCAAAGCATGAACCTATATTAAAATATTAATGCGCTTTGTGAGCCAAACATTTTATTTCTTATTCTCTGTCAAAAAACAAGTACCTCGTCAGCTAAAAAGGGCACTTTCATGGACGATGAATGGAGCACTTTAAGTGTGCGGTTCTGGGCACTTCAAGCCCCATGCTTAAAAACGTGTTCCACTGCAGGCTATTTTAAGCGCTCCATTCATCGTCCGAGTGGCACTTATTTTTTTACAGCGTTCAATTCCGATATCTTTTTCAAAACGACATCAAGCGAATCAGCATTGTCCAGATCGCCTTCTTTTAATCCCGTAAATGGAAAAAGGTAGCTGACAAGTGGTATCGAGGGTTTAATCAGCGCTTCCAGCAAAACTATACATTTATCATTAACCACGCTGACGGATACGGGTGTGCGATCGATATCTGTGTATCCAGTAGCTGCACACTCAACGTCGATTGAAATATAAACTTGTTTTGAATCGTATCGTTTGCGGACATATGGATTGAGTAACAGAGAAAACCGAGCATTCAAATGGAATCGTCTTACATGCACGAAGGAATGTACAACGTCTTTCAGTGATAAATAATCCAATGTGCCTAATAAAATTTCATTGGAGAGTTCTTCCAGTGTTGATGCTTTTCTAAGAAAAAAGAGTTTCTAAATTACTAGCTTAACTCTGCTCAGCCTCTATCGACTACCCCTTTTGAGCTTCCAAGGGATATTCTTCCTGTGACTTTTCTTCGTCTAAACCAGAAAAGTTATTGGCACTCTAAATGAGCTGAAGGAGCTGTCTACTTACTTTCTTGAAATGATTTCGGTTTTTTCGATTCATCATTCTGATCACTTGAGTTTGATGCACGACGTTTACGAGAATCCATATTGCTTTCCTGAATTATAATGTTAAATAACGCAAAGTGAACACACGAAAAGATGAATGCATGTACTCTTCGACATAAAATAACACTTATCCAGTAAATTAGCAAGAATCTCAGAATGAAAATGTTTTATTTTTAAAACAAGGATGAAACAGTAACATCAGAGCAAACAGAGGAGAACAGAAACCCATAAGAAAGATATCATAAATGAGTAATGCCGACTATATATATTGTTGTATGGATAACCGTAGTTGTTGGTTTGACCATAGCTACCTCCATACGGATTATTTCCATATTGTCCCTGTCCATATATCGAAGATCTATAATATTGATTTGAATATTGATAACGGTTATATGTGTTAGCCCATCCTTGATTTTGATATGGTCTTCAACGTATTTCTGAAGTGTAAGATAAAACAGAGAGAGAGAGAGAGCAAATTACGCAAGGGGGAAAGATCTCACCTCAAGTGTGCGCACTTATGACCGAAGTCTCACTTGAAATGCCGAAGTAACACTCTAAGAGTGTGAGTCAGTTTTACAGGACCTTGCTGTAAAAAGAATTAAATTTTGGTTAAAAATCAACAGTCAAATATACCTAGTATTGGCACCAAAATTTAATGCATTCAGTTGTTTGTCGAATAACTTCAGAACGATGAAAGATAGGGACCTGCGATTTTCAACAATCGAAAGACGACAGTTTAACCTATGTTTTCATAAGCAAAATCCTTTTCCGAAACTATTCAGAAAGAGATCTTTGGAAAAGTACTTCGGATCTCGGGAAACTGAGATAACAATCTATCAGTTTTTTTCCATAGATAGATAGTCCAAAGAGTCCTCTTCAAAATAGGAATTAAGCGAACTCTTGAGTTTTACCGATTGAGGCGTGGCATTGGATTGGCTGAGAGTCTCAGGTATTTCTTTAGGTGTGGTAATTCCGAAAATAATGGAAACGTAGGTAATCAACCACGCTGACTCTCGTGGCAATATTTGTTTTTCAGAAAACCTCCAACAACCTAGTGAAAACCTATATTAGGTGGAATGACTCATTTTTGTCTATTTTCGAGTATATATATAATTAAAAAATTCATAATCCAGTCAAGATCAATCTAAATTATGTCACAATATTAAGGTGTACTTTATTTTATCTGCTCAGTACTATGCAGTTCAATAAAAGCTTTAAAAATCAATACAAAATACCTTCTCTTTTGAAACGGCTTCTAGAAATCTTTCGAAGTACAAGAATGCTTTTTACTATTCTGAAGTAAAAAATCGTCTTGAGTAGGTAAAATAGAGTACATCTTGATATTCTGACATAATTTAGATTGATCTTGACTGGATTATGAATTTTCTAATTATACTCAAAAATTGGCAGAAATGCGTTATTGCACCTAATATAGGTATGAAGGGTGATTAGAATGATGCATCTCCCAGCTCTACACGATCTTTCTTTGCAAAGTTATGGAACTTACAAGGAAAGCCCTAAATGTCCATTGTCAGCTCAAAGCTACAGAAACAAGAAGAAATTAATTTAGGACTTTTCTTGTAAATCTATAACTTTGCGAAGAAAGGTCGTGTAGAGCTGGGAGATGTCTCATTTTAATCAGAAATCTGCGGGCTACAATCATGCTTCACTACGAAGGAGGTTTTGGTTATTCTTTAGAGTTTCTGAAAAAGTGGTTTTCAAGCAAACCGGGTCTTCAGAAGTCATGAGCACACATCTTTTAGAGTATTTACTACCTCACTGAGGTCTATCGATCCATGTACAAATCGCTGGAATCGGAAGGAGACATCTCGAAAGGTTCCCGCGTAAGTGTCACTTCAAGTGAGAGACACTTCGAAGCGTGTGCAGCAAAATTGGAGGGTATTTCCCCCTTGAAATTACGTGTCTACACATTGATAACGCACATCTGAGTCAATATACAGTGGCTTCTCGGCTTAAATTGTTTACTAAAGCAAAAGATCTTTCCTTCTTTTTTAACTTTTTTGTGCAAATATTTAGAGGTAGGTAACTTGCAAATCCGAGAAAGACCGACTTTTCCTAAGCCTAATATGACAGCAGCACACTTATAACATTTGGATGTGCACATAACGGTCAATATTTTTTTAGCGCCGTGACTTGTCGATCTTCTCTTCGGATCATGATAATCACAGAAAACGCGTTGACTTAGTTATCAATTCATTGAAGTCCGATATTTTAGAAGTTTTTCACTAGTAAATTGTTATCTGACGCCACTTAAAAGGCACAAGTTCTTTATGTTTTCTATTTCCAGTAATCATCGTACTTCTCTTACATTGAATCTAACAGAAAAGCGATCCCATATTTTTGTATATTGTCTGCTATTCAGTGTTTCATGTAGAAGAAAAATAAAACCTTTATAAAATTATCAGAGAACAGTAAACTAGAGATTTTTTGTTTGTTTTGTTCGCCATTGTGGACCATACTTTTAGAACTTTAAAACTTCAGCTTGTGAAATTTTCGTCCATAAAAAACTTCTTGAAAGGGTAAAAGACACATAATCTTACTCAGCTCGAACAGCTCTATCCAATCATGTATCAATATTGCACAACAAAAAATTGCATGAAAATGGGATCGGCATATTTCTTTTCCAACTTATTCGATTTATGTTTCATATTATCACAAAAGTAAAAAACACGAAAAGTTTTCCGGATTTAACGGGATCGTAATTAAGCCTATGGGATGGGATACGGATGAAAAAACTCAATCCTGCAGAACTCTATCTGTATCTCTTTCTCTGCTCGTCTTCTTAATAATGAATGCAGTAAAATATGTTAGTCACAAAACAGGAAAAGGAAAAAAGACAGGCAAACGTTATGTTTTTTACATGAAAAATACGACACGTCAATTTTTTGGTATTCAAAAGAAGATATCAGTACAATCTGTGTATATTTGTGTTCTGTACAACATGTTTGTGATAATCAGTACAAATGTTCTGATTTGAATAGTTAGTTATTCGGCTATGTTGAGATACAAGTTATCGCCGCACATTTTCATATATGATAACACGGTAAATACTATGGCCCTATGGGTAAAGCTATGGTAATAATGATGACTCATTGACTATATCACAATGCGGAAGAAGATTGCACTTCATCGATATATGGGCTTCATCGTGATACCTTCTTTGAGAGGTAGAAATTCTCTGGCAATGAAAGGCGTTGAAATAACTTCGGGCTATAGTGATATATTCGGAATAGACGTTCATCGTGTTAACACTCATATCGCGATGCAGCGGATGCAGTGACATACTCAAGTTTGTTTAGGATACAAAATGTAAGAAACAACAAATCGATGTGGTATAACACATGAAATGGATTTTCGTGAGCTGAATACTGACAATTCTTCAACAAATGTTGATTCAGTAAAAGACTGACCCACAAAGGATCTGACTAGGTTTTACATAAATCCCTTGAGAGTATCTATACTGATCATAATCTATATTTCGCCAATATAAATATTCATTGTCACGAACATAAGATTTGATTTAAGCGATCTGAAAGTACGCTGAAAGTAAGCGCTAAAATTTCCTTCTGCTTTCTCTCGTTAGGCATTCCACTTCATTTAGTATTCTATTTCCATGTCGACTTTCAACGTTGTGTTTCTTAGACAAAGAATATTGAGTTGAGTGCATACGAGCTTTGATGATATATAATCATTTTTACCAGAGGTGCAGAATCTATCTGTGAGTTTTGGAAATTTTCCCCAACGGTAAAAGACTATAATAAAATTTCCCCGGCATGAAACAAAAGAAAAAACAAAGCAATGCGATTTTATTGTTGCTAAAACTACTGTTTCTGTTTAATCACATATGTCTGGTTCTAGTATTTTCTTGACGTAAACGTTTTAATACAACTGTGAATAGTTAGTTTTTAAAAGAACATAAAAAGGAGATAGTCGTTAAAGACTAACATAATTCTTTATTTTTGCAAACCTTGGAAAATTCTCCGAAAAACAGTTTTTTTCCCCCGACGGCTATCGGTGCAAACGGGTAGATTCTGCATCTCTGCTTTTTACAGTCGATTTATGGATTTTCTCCTACTCAAAAGAAATACAAACATTCATTTATTAGATATAGTGATATAAAACATAAACGAAAACGCGAATGAATATAGGTACGTAAAGTCGAAGTAACACACTAAATAAACAATCTCATCGAGTAGTGAATGAAATTCATCTCATATTCCTCAACCTGTAAAACGACGGATTCATTCTAATGAACGACAATATCAAATATTAAACTCACCGAATCCCTTAACTCACCTAGTTAAACACTCAGTTAATGCAGTCACTGTGCGCAATTTGTGTTCTACACATGATCATGAAGCGCATTTTATCGACTACGTACCGGATCTACATGCCGTGTGACCGATTGACCATCCGAATGAATAATCAGACAACAGGAAAGACTTAGGCGCTGTATGGCATAAGAAAGAACATACATAAATTGTTGACTAATATCCATCCCAAATATAATACACTCGGTTGTCTTTTTTAAATTTTTTTAAAATACTACTTTAGGGAAGCTATCAAAAATAACTGAACGCGTGAAACGTGGACGTGGACTACATTCCACGCACAGAGAAATTTGTTCGTTTCTGTCGATGTGTAGACATTTGTTTTTGCTTTTTCTCACTTAAATAGCAGAAAGAGAAAGCTGATATGCACAGAATGGAATAAATTTTCGTTTTCTATTAGGCATCTAGCAAAATTGGAGATATCTCTTCTAGCACAAGATATGCGTGTGCAAACATTGCGGTATATATGACGTAAAAGAACGAGACAGAAAAAAGAAGTCTAAAAAGTGCTGAAAGAATAAAATGGTGAATGAAAACAACGCTGCACTGACTTTTCCTCTTTCTTCACACGGCAAACGAGAAAAAGAGAATATCTATCGTTGATAGATATCTTGGATGTACGTCGTGCATGTGCGAGAAGAGATATCTCCAATTTTGCTAGATGCCTATTATCAGTTGCACAATTTAAG